TGTCTGCAACGTACTGATAAATCTGACTTAGAGTGAGGCGGCGATCTGGGGCACCGTGTATGGCCATCGCAATAAGAGCTGAGTATGAATAAGGTGGCCTGACCAGCTTCATAAGATCCTCTTGAGAAGGCATGGAGAACCAGCTCAGTTCACCACCAGGACCACCTGGTCCCAAATAGGGCCTTTGTACGCCATAGTGCTGGGGCACAAAAGGAGGTCCTGCAGGGCCAGGCGTTCCACCCAGATAAGGAGTGCTGTTCATCCCTGGGCTGTTGAACCACAGGTAGGGGTTAGGCGATGAGGCGGCGTAGTCTCCGAGTTCATATGAGGAAGGATTTGTTCGCTGTGGACTCGGCAGTGATGGTGGTGGATAGTAGCTGTCGCTGTACAGACTCAATTCTGGAGGCTCCTGTCCCAAGCTTGGAAACTGAGGGCCACATCTCGTCGGAGACTGACCTTGAGATTCATAGGATGTCATTGTTTAGTGATCCTGATGTGTTCCACTTGGAAAGTCTTTCTCTCTCCTTCTCTTACTCTCTAATGACCTGTTCTTCTTTTTTTACCTTACGGTCCAGGAATATTTTCAGGAACTCTAAGATGTTTCCAGCGGGAGTTGTCCTGCATGTGTCCTCTCTTAGTGCTTCCTTCTGCTGTTTCAACATCATTGTCTGTTGCACCTGTTTTATTTATGCATATGTAGCACCGCCTAAGTCCCACCTTATTGAAACCTTCCACGTGTTTAGGCTCTTCCTGACATAGCCCTCATAACCAACCACCCACCCATCCACAAACCAGCAGCACCACCATCACCTGAAGGCATTCACAGGGTTTAGCCTGACACACTGGAATTTTCTGTTACAACCACCTAAAACTCCTGAAAACATATATTCTCTGAAACCTTTTTTTTTTCTTCATAACTTTAACATCGCAAAATATTTTATGAACAACAAGCACTTAGTTATTGACGGAAAAGTTTCAGTTCCAGCTTTTACTTGTAAGTAGAATGGTGTTTACATACTTCTCATTCGACCGTTCTATGTAGAACCACCACCATCAAATAATTTCCCTTATCGAAAATGTTGGTTGTAATTAATTAAAGCATGCAGAAGCATTTTTAGCTAAGAGTGCTTAATATAAGTGCAAACTGTATTGCATTGTATTATTATATAACATTTATTTATATGTGTTCATTCATTCATTTATTTAGCTGGTCAGGCCGGGACGTCAGAGATGACGTCATGATGTCGAATAATCGATTAATCGTTTTATTAATACTTTCATTGAAACAAACACTTTTAAAGAACCGATTCGTGTAACTTAGTTAAATTGGATGTCCCATTACTACAATCATGCTGATACTTTAAAAGAAATACATTTTATATGCGATTGTATTTGAATGTGCACGCGTGAGAGCCGTTAAATGTACGTGGCGCGTGCCTTGCTCGACTCGAGTAACTGTCAGCAGTCGCAATAAAACACGAAACATTCAAAATTGTCTGCAGTTCGTTACATTTCCAAGGTAATTTGCTTAAGTTATGAGTTTCTATTCACACTACATGTATATTTATTTTATTGGCGTAATTTAAAGTAAGGTCTCTTTGTAGGGTTGCCAACCGTTCCGTATAATACGGAATCGTCCCGTATTTAAGGCATCAAAGAAGCGTTCCGTATGAAAGCTATACGGAACGCAGTTTGTCCCGTATTTAAAGCATATGCCATATGACCACCTAGACCATACTAATATCAAACTCTAAACTGAGAATGAATCATTCTTTTTTGACAAGTGTTTGATTTGTGAATGTAGCCGGTCGAGGGAGGCTTTAAGACCAAGCGGAATCCTCTGCCGGCTGGTCGCTCCCGCTTCACAGCCAGCGGGACTCGCGCTAACAGAGTTGGGGTTTTTTAACGTCCGCGTTTCGACTTCAGCAAATGAGTTTGTCACCTGAAGGCATTCACAGGGTTTAGCCTGACACACTGGAATTTTCTGTTACAACCACCTAAAACTCCTGAAAACATATATTCTCTGAAACCTTTTTTTTTTCTTCATAACTTTAACATCGCAAAATATTTTATGAACAACAAGCACTTAGTTATTGACGGAAAAGTTTCAGTTCCAGCTTTTACTTGTAAGTAGAATGGTGTTTACATACTTCTCATTCGACCGTTCTATGTAGAACCACCACCATCAAATAATTTCCCTTATCGAAAATGTTGGTTGTAATTAATTAAAGCATGCAGAAGCATTTTTAGCTAAGAGTGCTTAATATAAGTGCAAACTGTATTGCATTGTATTATTATATAACATTTATTTATATGTGTTCATTCATTCATTTATTTAGCTGGTCAGGCCGGGACGTCAGAGATGACGTCATGATGTCGAATAATCGATTAATCGTTTTATTAATATTTTCATTGAAACAAACACTTTTAAAGAACCGATTCGTGTAACTTAGTTAAATTGGATGTCCCATTACTACAATCATGCTGATACTTTAAAAGAAATACATTTTATATGCGATTGTATTTGAATGTGCACGCGTGAGAGCCGTTAAATGTACGTGGCGCGTGCCTTGCTCGACTCGAGTAACTGTCAGCAGTCGCAATAAAACACGAAACATTCAAAATTGTCTGCAGTTCGTTACATTTCCAAGGTAATTTGCTTAAGTTATGAGTTTCTATTCACACTACATGTATATTTATTTTATTGGCGTAATTTAAAGTAAGGTCTCTTTGTAGGGTTGCCAACCGTTCCGTATAATACGGAATCGTCCCGTATTTAAGGCATCAAAGAAGCGTTCCGTATGAAAGCTATACGGAACGCAGTTTGTCCCGTATTTAAAGCATATGCCATATGACCACCTAGACCATACTAATATCAAACTCTAAACTGAGAATGAATCATTCTTTTTTGACAAGTGTTTGATTTGTGAATGTAGCCGGTCGAGGGAGGCTTTAAGACCAAGCGGAATCCTCTGCCGGCTGGTCGCTCCCGCTTCACAGCCAGCGGGACTCGCGCTAACAGAGTTGGGGTTTTTTAACGTCCGCGTTTCGACTTCAGCAAATGAGTTTGGGCAAATGCAAACAACGTGATTCATATCCAGCCACGCAAGAAAACGTGCATTTTACCTGAGGGAAGACGTGATTAATAAGGAAAGTCGTCTTTCTACAATGTAGTTAATGTTGTTAAACCTAGATAAAACAATTTAAATAATATTAATATTTAATATTAATATTTAACAGCGTATTCTTAACCTTGAATGTCATTCTTAAAACACAAAATGACCAATGAAGTGTCAAGCACCCAAAGCAGACCATATTAATTCTATAAGTGCTTCAATTGATAAATGCATTTTCATATACATTTTCATATATACAGGCCTACTGTATAGCTATTACACACACGCATATCAGAAGTCAGAAAGAGCTTTATCGCCAAGTATTTTTGCACATACAAGGAATTTGTTATAGTGTCCAAGTTTCCAGACAGAGACAACACACAGATAATAAAAAAATAAGTGAATAAAATACACATATGTATAAATAAAAAATTATAAAAATAAAATAAAGCACACACACACACACAAAAAGGATAAATATGTACAGGTGTGCTATTGATAAAATACTGTAGAATATGAATAGAATAAAAAAAGTTGTAGGGCTGTACTAGGATGTAGGGTGATAAATAATATAAGGTTATTGCACATATTTTTATTGCACAATGAGAGAACATTTAACTGTTCATTAGGTAGATATATGTATATAATGTATACACACTGCCGTTCAAAAGTTTGGGATCAGTAAGATTTTTAAAGTTTTTTAAAAGAAGTTTCTTGTGCTTGTCAAGGCTGCATTTATTTGATCAAAAATACAGGAAAAAAAATTAATTTTGTGAAATAGCATATTATTGCAATTTAACATAACAGTTTTATATTTTAATATACTTTAAAATATAATGTATTTCTGTGAAGCAAAGCTGTATATTCAGCATCATTACTCCAGTCTTCAGTGTCACATGGTCCTTCAGAAATCATGATAACATGCTGATTTATAATCAGTGTTGGAAACAGTTGTGCTGCTTAATATTTTTTGGGACCTGTGATATTTTTAAGGATTCTTTGATAAATAAAAAGTTAAAAAGAACAGTATTTATTCCAAATAAAAATGTTGTGTTAAATATACACTACTTTTCAAAAGTTTGGGGTCAGTACATTTCTTTTTTTTTAAAGACATTTTTAGAATACTTTTATTCAGCAATGATTAAGGTGTTAAATGGATAAAAAGTGATATTGTTAGAAAATATTTATATTTTGAATAAATTCTGGTCTTTTTAACTTTTTATTTTATTTATGGAACACAGGTTCCAAAAAATAGTAAGCAGCACAACAGTTGATAATATTTATCAACACTGATATTAAATCAGCGTATTAGAATGATTTCTAAAGGATCATGTGACACTGAAGACTGGAGTAATGATGCTGAAAATGCAGTGCTGCGTCACAGAAATAAATTATATTTTAAAGTATAATAAGATTGGAAACCAATATTAGAAATTGCAATAATATTTCACAATATTACTATTTGTCTGTCAAATACAGACAAATAGTAATATTGTCTGTCTCAGCCTTGATGAGCATAAGAGACTCCAGTAAAAAACATTACAAATCTAAAAGATATATACCTGTTTTATATATATATAATAGGCCTGTGTGTGTCCCTTATTCTGTCCCTTATTTTTCTATGAAAAACCACGGTTGTCCCTTATTTTGCTTTTCTGAAGGTGGCAACCCTATCTCTTTGGCCTGAGGTAGTGTTACATTTGAATGACAGAAAACGGATGCACGAAAAATGAGTAGAATTGATTATGTAGGTGTAAAACGTGGTCTTATTTATTTCATCGTGAAAATGTAACTAATTTAACGTTTAGGATTAAGAAACAACAATCCAGCGGGAGTTATGGAGATGTCTGCTGATATTTCGAGTGTCCAATCATGTGAGGACTTCAGTCGTGAGAGGTTACAACTGAATCAACATTTGGAGAAGATGACTGAACAAATGGAGAATGTTTCAGGTAGATAGCAAACAAATACTGCTTTGACTATAACAATAATGCTGTGAATGAAAAATCGACTGTGCCGATAATCATTTTCTTTGTCCTCAGTGAAGTTGTCTTGGATGGCCTATGATATGGTTGTGCTCCGAACCAGTCCAGATCTTTCTGAATCCCTCAAGTGCCTGGAGAATGAGTTCCTTAAGTGCAAAGCTGTCATTTGTGGTCCCACAGATGGACAAGATAAAAAATCTCATCCTGCTGCTGAAGAACCTAATATTCCCCAAGAAAAAAGTTAGAGTTTCAATGTAGAACAGAGGCATCTAATAGGATGATGTTGTTAAAACTAATTGAGTTAGATCTGCTAGAGTTGTTTGGTGCCACCATATTTGGAATTTAACATGGTTTTATTCCCTCATACAAATGAATAAAAATATCAACAAAGCAGACATGCTTATTGTGAATCTGATTAATCCAATTCATTAAAATGCAAAAAAAGGGGCTTCTGAATGTTTTTCTCATTGCATCATTTTGTATGCAGATTTTTGTGTTCTTCCAAGTGAGTGTAGTGATTTATTGTGTTTACACTTTTGGAAAAAGTTCCTAAGCCTTTAGACAAATCTATTAGAATTATTTGAGCTTCATGAGGATTGTAAAATGTGTTGCATCTAGCATGCTACCTAAAACGCTGTTCCATTTTTAGATATTATTGTGTTGTGTCATCCATTTAAGACAGAAAGAGACCATAAAATGGTAATACATAATTATCCTTACCTCTGTGTGTAATGGACTTACAGATGGAGTCTGAGGGAAATTCCCCCGAGAACAGTACAGTGACCATGGGGCCTCAGATGGCCTGGATTATATCCTGAAGCAGTTGGATTTAATGTCGGAATTGATTGACCAATTGGAAGGTAAATTTACTATGTTACAAGTTCTTTTTGTTAGCATAATTCAGTGACTGTTAGTGAGACTGTTGGACCTAACCCCTACCTTATTTTCTTAGGGGATTTTTCTACAGCATTGTAAAATTATTGTACAAAATGAAATAATAATGATAATATACAGTTTGAAAAGTCGTCTCCGCACACTCATGTTTTGATAATTCTGAAATGTGCTGGCAGTTTAATAGTTCCTCTTTTTTTGAGTGTTGGCAGAAATTCTTCTGGTGGCTTTGAAATGGGTATTGCATGAACAAATTTTGAAAATAGAAAATGTGGCACCCTTGCCAAGGGTGGCAGTTAACGAGGAGTCGGCGCTAAGACATTAATCTGTGCCCGCCGTCAATGCTAACACAAACATATCAGCACTCAGAACATCCTGCAAATCCTCCAGGGCTGTCAATAATGAGTTTTATTATGTCATAGAGACATTAGGTTTGGCAAGAAAACGTGTTGGCTACATCTATTGCTGAGCCCTGCATATCCAGTTAAGTAGGACTAAACATCGTTGAATATTTCGACAGTTACTTGTGGATTAAATCTTCTATAGTCGTATCAAAACCTGCTATAGCCGCATTTTAGATTGATTACTGAAAAATAATAATGAACTGATAGATTTTCCTTTTGGGTGTACGTTAACAGTAATCTTTGCATAATACATAACAGAATGCGTCTATTTATGCACTTTGATTACAGTAAACATAACCTGTTGGTGCTGGTTATGTTTCAGTCACTCAAAATGGAATGAGAGGGTCTCTTCTTGCGTTCGTCTTGCTATATGTTCAACTACTACACTCTTTGTTTTCAGTGAAGATCCAGCTGCTGCAGTGTAACCTGACCGTGTGTTTCACACACCCTGATAACATGGCTTGACTCCAGGCTGACGTGGAAACCTCAACATGGTTAAGCAATCAACAGACGATCGAAGACTAAATACGTAACTCAAGAAAAGTGCTTTTTCACTTAAACATCACAATTTATTAGAAAACATTCAGTTCAAACACTAAAAGCAGTAGGAATATTTCATTTGGAACAGATGAATGTACATTTTCAGAGTTGATAATAGTAAGTAAAATTGCCTCTAGCTAACATTAAGTCTAAAAATGACTTGATTGAAAGTGTTTAAAAATTCATCTTCAATTTAAAAAGTGTAGACAGTCATGTCTGATCGAATTAAACTTAATATGATTTATTCATTTAGTCATGCACTTCATTTTTCAGTGCTTAGATATCCTGGTGTTGATTGGCAATATTGCAATTGCGCCATTTCACAGACAAAGTGTCTGAATTCCATCAAAGTCTGTTTGGCACTGGAATCCAGTCAGCATTAGCTACAGTATCTCACAGAAGTGAGTACACCCCTAACAAGATTACATTATCTAAAAAAAAAACTTTGGTTTTATTTTTCTGCTTGTTGATGTTTGTACAGACTCAAAGCCACTGCACAAAGGAACAAAATGTAACTAACAAAAAATCAGTGCAAA